GTTTATGGGGTCGGAAATGACTCCTTCACCTGGTTTTCAGCTTTCGACTAATATATAATACCCTGCAACTGCAAGGGTATGATGATTTGGGAATGACTTTTACTTGCCTCCCATAATTCCCAGTTACTAATTTCATATATAGAATCAATGATTCACTTCTGGCTTTATTATGATCCAAATTAATGGCCTGACTTGTGGGTTACTTTATGAACTTGAAGCAGCTGTAAAGGGGTCTTTGAAAGTGACTTAGTTTAGCTGCATTCAAGGGTATTTTTTGTGCTATCATTTCATCTGAATATCCTTAAGAACCTAGTTTAGCTGTAAGTGAATCAAATGGGTTTCCTTTTGACAAACTCTGGCTTTTTCCAATGAGAGTAATAGTTTGGATTTTTTGAGCCTTTTCCCCAAGACTCATTGTGATTATAATTGTTACATCAAGTTACATCATGCACCATTTAATGAATGAAAGGGCTCTCCCCATTACCTTAATGGTAACCCCCTTTAAAAGTGAATCATATTTTCTTTTTATACGGAAAGAGTGACCCCAAAATAAAGTGATTTATATTACTTAGTTGTATTTTTAATTGTTTATACAATATAAACTACTCTTTGTTCTTGAAAAATATCAGAAAAATGTTATTTATTTGTGCCTTTTTCGATTAATATGGCTCCCAGAATGAATTAATCGAATGTTTGTATATCAAAAAGGTAGAATACTGTTTATTATCAAATATTAAAACGCTAAAGCTATTTATTCATTCCTGTTGTACATTAGCTAAAACCTTAATTTTATAATAATTAATTAAAATGTAAACCTAAAAATAAATTTTAAATTATCGATAATAATTTCTATCTGTATTTTGTGGCTATCAGTGATTTGCACGTTTTTGTTGCCCCTGTTTTCATTTTTTTTTTTTTTACTTTGAGAGAAATTATGGAGAGAGAGAGAGAGAGAGAGAGAGGTAGAAAAAAAGAGCAGAGCGGCAGGAGAGATCAGGAGAGTGGCCGAGCCAGCTAGCCAGGTGGACAAGTGCCATTTGCTGCTCTTCTGCGGCACTCGTGGCTGCTGCTCCCGCTCCCAATCCCCCAATGTTGCTGCTGCTGCTGGTGCTGCTAATGTGTTGCCATTGCCGTTGGCCGGTTGGTTAGCGTTAGCGGTCTCTGTCGCGGACTCCAACTCGGACATCAGTCGTCGTCGTTTGCGGATTTTCATAGTTCAGTGCGCTTTCCAGTTGTCGACAACTACGGCTACGACAACCACAACGGGCCGGCGGGCGACAGCTGACGACAGCAGCAGCAGCATCGCCATAGCCATAGCCATCTTCAACACCATCAGCAGGCAGCGTCTAAATATAATCATTTTTATTTGTGATTTATTTAATCAACATCTCACCCAGAGGCCAGCGCGCCAGAGATTGGCGAGAGTGTGCGGGGGCCGTCGTCGTTGTCGTCGTCGTCGTGTAAGCGATGGAAAAATAAAACAAATACAACACCAACCACAACAAAAAATAGCCTCAAATTGCTCTTGAAAGTGAAAGAAATTGCACAGAAAGTGCAATATATATATTAACGTATCGGTTATCGGTGATTGAAATCAATCAAACTGTTGCCTGTGCCTGGAAATCGATTAGAAAAGTGCGGAAATTGCACTTAAATAGTGTCAAGAAGACTAAAAACGGGGCAAGAAGGCTATCTTTCGGATGATATAAGCCATGTAAATAAACAGATTAATAAAATAACAATTCTTAAGAATGAAATTGTGTATCGTTAATCGCCTGAATAAGGTATAAATCGATAAATACAGAAAAAAAGGCTTGAACTTGGCTTCTTAATACAATTTTAGATAATATTGTATCGATAACTACACCACAACTATTGATAATCGCCTGAATAATTAACCTATCTATAAAATATGATAACTTCTTTTACTAGTGGAATAAATCTATCATAAATCCCGATATAAAAGCCTGAACTTGGGTTGAGGCAGGCCCAGCTAATAATATTTACAAAAATTATCGGGAATATCAAACAACAAATATGGTTAATCGTTATAATAAATTATTTTTAAAATAGTTTTTACAATTCCCTTAAAAAAACACAACTATCTGAACGTGTTAAATAACCAAAAAACAAGGTGCTGCAATCGTTAATCGTATCTCTCTCCTATTGCTTATCGGAATTCGGTGAAATCTATCGACAAACAAAACAAAACAAAAACAAAACATAATATCCAAAAGACGCGACAAATTGGTGATGTTATGCTTGTGTTTTCGCCTCTCTATGGCTGCTGTTGTTGTTGTTTAACATAAGTATTTGTGGTGTTGTCATTATGCAACGTTATGCCGCAGTTTGATGAATCTTTTTTGAGCGACTGTGCGCTCGCTGACCGCTGGCATGTCTACTCGTACACGCTCAAGCAGCTGCCGCCGTCGCATCCCGGAGATCCCAAAGCCAGCCGGGGAGCTAGCAAAGCGGCTCCCAGAGATGATGAACATCATCAGCATCAGCATCAGCGGCAATCATGGTCGCCGCGAGATAGCAACAATAACAGCAACCTCAGCAGCAACACTAGCGGCAACACGTTGCATAGCATTAAATTCCACAGACGTCGCAAATACAAAAAGCTGGCACGATTGGCACTATCAACGCCAGCGATTCCACTGGCAATGGACTCCCCAACGTTTGGTCTAGTGCCGCACAAGAATGCGCTGTTATGCCGTAAGTGAAAGCTGGCTCCTGCTGTTGCTTCTCCTCCTCCTCCTCCTCCTCCGTATCTTCCCCCTTGAAAAGTTCCAACCGAAACGCCTCAGCAAGTCCGGGGACCACCTAGGAATGCAATTTTATTTGGCAAATGTGCATTTCTCAGCTCTAATTATTGCAAAGGCATTTATTACAAGGCTTAGTTCATTAATTGTACTACATTTTGGTCAATAATTGCAGCTCAAGTGGTTGCAAAAAGGCCACAAATGCAGTTGTGCTTCTTGTAGGTTGAACTAGGGATGTATATCGAGGGGAAAGATGTGATATCGAGCTTAATATTATATCGAAAATAGCGTCAACTTTGATAAATTGAATTTTAAAAAATATAGATTTTACAGAAAAATATCAGGAAAATTTAAAAAAATTTGTTATGTCTTTTCTGATTATTTTCTTTCGCTATATTAAACAAGGCATCGATTTATAGCAACGTTTAAATATCGTATATCGATTTTTTCTGAAAATATCGTTACAGTTTCTATATTTGCAGCAATCTTAGGGTTGAACTGCTTTATTATATATAATATATAATTTATAAAATAAATATATATTATATTATATATATAATATATATTTATTTTGTAAATTATATTATATTATTATTAATATATTATATTATATTATTTTGTAAATTATATAAAATATAGAATATAATACATATAAATTATAATTTATTATATATATAATATATATTTATTTTGTAAATTATATATATAATATATATATAATAAATTATAATTTATATGTATTATATTCTATATTTTATATAATTTTTAAAACCAATATACCCATTTAAATTTTTTGTACACTTTAATAAGTAAATATTTTTAGATTTTAATCAATTTAAAGTGAAACAGCAACCTACCTTATATCGTATAAGAATGCTGGGTGTCGGTTGTGCTGTAATTTTTGGCAATATTAGTTTTGTGGAATTTGGCAAAAGTCAAGAACAAACAGAACAGGCTGCATTAACGAATAAAACAAAAAAGATTCAACACGGAAATCATGATGTCATTGGCATCTATTTCTTTACTTAATGGCCAAGCGTCGTAGCAGCTGTAAAATAATCAAATGTGTTTTTCAATTACATTCCAGAAATAATTATTAATTATACAAATTATTTGCTGGCAACATTATTAGAAACAAGAGAAGAAGCTAACGATGTTTCTCTATCTAAATTTGAAATTTATTTAAACAAAACTGAAAAAAGAAAACATTTTTAGTTATTAATTAATTACTTAAAATTAATTCAATAATTATTAATTTATTACTTAAAATTAATTCAATAATTATTAATTAATTATTAAAAATTAATTCAACAATTATTAATTAATTACTTAAAATTAATGTATTAAATTTTTTAATTAATAAATTTAAATTTAATTAAATTAAATTTCAATAATGTAATTGAATTAACTAATTTAACTTATTCGAATGCTTTAAATCAATTTTTTATATGCTTTTTTTTTTGGACAAATCAAATTTTCAAAATATCATAACTAAGTCAAAAAACCATCAAATTTAATTCGGCAAGCTTTTCTATGCTATTTTTTTGTAGTTAAAAAAATCTGCATACTAAGTTTTAAATTTTAGAAAATCCAAATTTTTCTCAATTTTTAAAAATTTTAATGATGTAACCCCTTATCGAACTTTGAAAAAATTTATCAAAAAAATTTTTTCTTGGAAAAATGTCTTAATCGACTCGCCTGTTAATGCTGATCAAGAATATATATGGTTTATAGGGTCGGAAATGACTCCTTCACCTGGTTTTTAGCTTTCGACTAATATATAATACCCTGAAACTGCAAGGGTATTCATATTTAATGATTTGTGAATGACTTTTACTTGCCTCTCATAATTCCCAGTTACTAATTTCATATATAGAATTAATGATTCACTTCTGGCTTTATTATGATCCGAATTAATGGCCTGACTTGTGGGTTACTTTATGAACTTGAAGCAGCTGTAAAGGGGTCTTAGAAAGTGACTTAGTTTAGCTGCATTCAAGGGTATTTTTTGTGCTATCATTTCATCTGATTATCCTTAAAAACCTAGTTTAGCTGTAAGTGAATCAAATGGGTTTCCTTTTTATAAACTTTGGCTTGTTTCAATGATTTGTGAAGCCTTTCTTTCTATATATCTTAGTTCCCTGTATAAAATGAGAGTAATAAGTTTGAATTATTTTTTATAGAATATAAATTACTTTTTATTCATAAATTCCCTTTTTTTCGATCTCCTTGCAGACGGCAGCATCAGTTCTCCATCCACGCCCGGCACCTGTTCGGTCGGTGGAGGCGGCTGCAGCAGCAGCAGCAACAATAGCATCAACAGTGGCGGCTACTCCACGGCGTGTACCCCGCCACCGGCAGCGCATCATCAACAACAGCAGCAGCACCACAACCACCAGCAGCAGCAGCAGCACCCGCCACCATCAACACCTGGAAGTCGTGGTGGTGCAGGCGGAGTCCCACCACCGGCACCATTAAATCTCAGTGGCAGTGGCCAGAGCGGTTCATCGGGGCATAAGAACAGCCTCAAGGGCACCAAATTGGCGCGACGGGCCCGCTCCTTCAAGGACGACCTGATCGAAAAGATCTCCCTGATGCGGACCACGAACAATACGCTGGGGCGTTCCCATTCCCCGCATAGTCCGCGCACCAAGCACGGTGCCAAGCCGCCGCCCACCACCGAGGAGGTGCAACGATCCACCCAGACCCTGGAGACGCATGTCAAGGATATTTCCAATGCCCTCAAGCACTTTCGGGATGTAATACTCAAGAAGAAGCTGGAGGTGCTGCCGGGCAATGGGACGGTGATTCTGGAGACGATTGCCAGCATGTATTCGGGTGAGTCCTAGATGGTATGCGTAATAGAAGGTGGTCATTGTTTTAAATCGAAATTATCTTTGAAATTAAAAGGGGAAAACGGAATAAAAAAGGGTTTAAAAATATTTAAAAAATAATTTAAGATCTCTAGAGTTTATATTTCAATCTCCTTAAGCCTTAAACCCTCTTTAAACCCCTTAATCCACAGTTATCCAAACCTACACGCTGAACGAGAACAGTGCCATTATGACCTCCGCCACGCAGCAGGTGTACCAGAGCCTGGGCAAACTGATCAAGCTATGCGACGAGGTGATGCTCTCCGAGGAGAGCGGCGAGTGCGCCTCTCTCAGCAATGAGAATGTGCGCGAGGTCATTGATCTCCTAGAAGATGCCGTAAGGGTGGGTATCCTTAGATCTTGACCCTGAGCTACCTTAATACCAATATAAATCCCTATCCCCCCGTCCCTCAGAATCTGGTGACATTGGCCCAAGGCAAGCTGAAGGAGGATCAGTGCGCCTTCCGCTATAGTGGCTCTGGCCTGGGCAGCATAGGAGCTGCAGCAGAGATAATGGGAGCTGTCACGGCCTCATCGGGCGTCGGCGGAGGACCTGGAACTGGCATTGGTCTGGGCATGGCCAGCATGCGTGTCTCGGCAGCTGAATCAGCGGCAGTGGCACAGCGCACCTCCTTGCCGGACATTGGTCTAACGCCCAAGGAGCGCGACAGCCTGGAACAGTGCAATGTGAATCCCATGCGTGGCTCCCACAGCACGGAGAGCATTCTGCGCGATTCGAGTCCGCCGCCAAAGCCACCGTTACCCAATAGGGCTAGCAATCCGCCACCATTACCGCCAAAGCGACGCAGCCAGCCGGGTGCCCCGGGTACTGGAGGAGGAGGAGGAGGAGGAGTGGGTTCATCATCGACATCCACCTCCACCTCGAATCAGGCCAGTCCCCAGCCCTATGCCCAGTCGCACAACATCAGCCTCAACTCGGATCTGGACTGCAGCTCCAATATCTCGCTGCTGAACTATGGTGTGGATAGGTGAGGAATCCTCGAGAGAAAAGGTATGGAAGTCCTTCAAAAACGAATGTTTTTTTTTGTCAACAGACTCTCAGTGCGTTCCCGTTCGCCGGATGAGAACAGCCAGTGCTCATTTGACTCGGCGCTGAATCATTCACGCGAGGAGGAGGATCAACTGCAGCTACAGCGGCAGGAGACATTGGAGAGCAAGCTGATCAGCCACAGTGAGTATAACCGCCATGAAACGCCAACGACGACGACAACAACAACAACACCCACTCCCGTGGTGGTTACCCCAAACGAATCCCTTACGAAAACAGAAACTACAGAAGCTACCGAGGCAATAACATCGAATGCGAATGCTGGCGGAGCAGGAGCAGGAGCAGTCACTGCCGCAGCAGCAGCAGCAGCACCTACTGGTGGTGGTGGTGTTACAGGTGGTGGAGAAGCCAACACGGAGCTGCGCAAGGCGGCAGCAGCACTCACCAGCAATCGGCACTCCAATGAATCCGGTACCTACTCACAGACAGAAAATCCTAGCTCACTAGCTGTTACAAAGTTCTGCTCCTCCTGCTATGAGTTCCGTTACCCCTCCGCCCTCCCCCTTTCCCTAGTTATCCTGGACCTGCGCCTGTATATAGCATAAATGCCACTCCTCCTCCTGCTTTCTCCCCTCGTTTATTTTTGTTTTTGTATTCCCCCTTTTTGGTTATGGCTTTCTTGTTGATTTTTTTCTGCCTTTTCTTGGCTTTTCTCTTATTTTTGTTGTTGTTATTGTTGTGTTCCCTTAGGTTTTGTGTCCATGAAGTCGTTTCGCACCTCCACGCAGAGCGTGTCCAAGCGCTCCTCGGACTACAGCAAGTCCTCCAGCAGCAATTCGGAGATTGCCTTTAGCATCAGCGAATCGACGGCGGCGACGGCAACTTTGGGGGAATACCAGCAGATAAGCCAGTCTGTGTCGCACAGCAGCCGGAGTTGTACCACCACCACCACCACCACAACCACTGGCTATGCCAGCAGCGGTGACCTAGAACAGATTCTGGACTCTGATCTGGCGCCGGCCCTGCCGCCAAAGAGCAATCAACGGGGTAGCCTAGCTGCCGCCGCCGTCGTAACCGATGAACTGGATGAGGGTCAGTCCTCGTCTAGTGGCTGGGCCAGCCATCGGAGCAGTCAGTCGGAGGTGGCCGAGCTGAGGCAACTGTCCCCGCAGCAGCAGCAGCAGCATCTCCATCATGCCCAGCAGCTGCAGCAGTGGCAGTCCAAGCATCACAGCCTGATCGAGGGACCGCGCCTGCAGATGGCGGGGAGCGGTAGCTGCAGTGCTTTCGATCAGCGGCATCTCGAGGAGCCGCCGCCGCTGCCCATGAAGAAGAAGCACAGTAAGTAGAGGCGCCTCCACCAGAAGCACCAACCGTATTTACATCGATTTCTTTTCCCTTTTTCTTTTTCCTCGGTTTATTTTGCATCTCGAATGTGTGGTGTTGTGTGTGTGTATGTTTTTGTTCTTTTTTTTTTTTTTTTTTTTTGTTATTTCTACCGCCAGGCCAGGCCGAGCGGTAAGTGCGTGTGTGTGAGGGGTCTTCCATATACATATATATCATATATCCATATATCCAGCCCATCCTTTAGCTCAAAATCAGACTAAACACTCGACAATCAGTAGCCACAAACAGTCTCTATATCATCTAGATCTGTGAGTCTCGCGGTTTGTGTGTCCTTTTAGAGCCTTTTATTTATGTGAAGCACTTTACCTTAGAGCTGGAAATAAAATTGACTTTTGGAAACGATTAATCGATTTATTCTATAATGCGATACATTGATCTAAATTTTTAGAATCGGTTTATTATTATTATTTAAATACAAATATCAATAGATAAAATGTAATAAACCTAAAAAAATAAAAAAACTATTTTGCATAATTAATACTTAATTAAATGAATTAAAATTAATTAAAATTTTTTAAACTTAAATTAATTCTGGTTTTGATTTTAATCGAAATACTTGTAGAAGTTTTTAGAGAAATATACTTTTTATCGATACATCATTTAAATTAAAAAATTAAATTAAATAATTATTAAATTAAATATTTATTAAATTTAATATAATTAATTGTTTTTTCTAATTTCAATTAAATTAAATATTAATTAAATTAAAAAAAATATTTCCGTTTTCCATTTAAAAAAAAATCGATTTACTGCAAATCTATCGATATATAATTTAAATTAAAAAATTAAATTAAATTAAATGAATTAAAATAAGTTACATTTTGTATTATCAATAATTTCCGTTTTCGATTTTTTTAAAACAATAAATCGATTCACTAGAAATCGATCTATTTCCAGCTTTACTTTACATTACTTTCATAGCATTCTCTATATTATATATATATATATATATATATATATATATATAAATATATATATATATATATATATAAATATATCGCAAACACACCCACCCAAACAAACCCCCCTTTAGCCAACCCAAACAAGCCACGAAAGTCTGCCAAATTGTTGTACGCAAGAGTCTAACCCATCTCAATTATCGTTCCCACCAACATCTAGTGTTTCAGAGTGTGGCCTTTTCGGGTAAGTCTGTGTGTTTAACTAGCGGAGACCTCAAAAAATACACGAAACAAAAGCACAAAAACCAACAAACCTGCTGCCAAAATGCCCAAAGAACACGAAAGAAACAAAACAAACCAAAACATTGACTCGAAAACCCAAAGAAAAGTGTACAAAACTTGAGCTTATAGAGCTCGAAATGCTCTCAAGAATCCTAAAAAAAATATTCAAAAATTGAAATGCTCTCTAAAACCATAGAAACTATTCAGAACTTGAGCTTATAGAGATCAAAATGCTTCGAATCTTGAGCTAAGATAGCTGGAAATGCTCTTAAAAACTATCGAAAATATTGTAAATTTGAGCTTATAAAGTTTGAAATGCTCTCTTAAAGTTCTTAGAAAATATTCAAATATTTAAATGCAATAGTAAAGTTTCTCGGGAATTCTTTATTTAAAATTTTTTGGAAACTTAAAAGCAAGCAGGAGAGGCAGGCCAAAGGAGCATCCCAAAGCTGAGGTTCCTATATTCAAAATCAATATTCCTTGACTTTTTCTGTTACCATTTGAAGGCATAAACTAAATAGAGTTTCCAGGAAAGAACATTTCGAGGATCTTGCCTCCCAAAAATCAAACTGAAGATGCATGCCAAAGCCCTACAAAGCCAGGACTTTGCGGTCTTTGCTGAGCCAGGGAAATAGGAACCTCTTTTAGATTCGAATTTCCCCATTTAATTTAATTTCAAAACTCTTGATACAAAATAACCTTTGATTATACAAAACCATCAAGAGGTAGCAATAGATATAGGTTGCCCTGGGAAGAGCATTTCGAGTTCGAGTTGCCAGCTTTTGCGCTTAGATGCTGCGCTGCCCTGCTGCATTTGATGTTGGTTTCCAGCTGGCGCTTGAGCTCTAGATCTCTTGCTTTCGTTCCAAACCCGCTGTTGTCTTGTCCCAGCCCCCGCTCCAGCTCCATGTCCCAATCCGCTCTTTTTCGTTCCATTCTGTTGTGGTCCTGACGTTGTGTTTTTCGTTCTTCGCCCGATACCTTGTAGAGCCCAAAACCAAGACCGGAAAAAAGTCCTTGTGGAAAGAGTTGGGAAAAAATGAATGATTACATCGATTCTTTCGATTTTGGTCGATACATTGATTGGGTTTTAAAACAATCGATCTACCCAAAACTGTAAATAAGCTCGTTTTTTCCCAACTCTGCTTGTGGAGCACCCACCAAGTCAAGGATCGCTCGATCGATGCTTAGTTTTTATATTTTTTCCAAAGTCCCAAGGCTGAGTTAATGCTAATGCCACTCCGTATACCCCACACAGTTCTGGCCTACATGGAGATCTGCTCGGCCTCGACGCGCTCCATCGAGCAGCATCGCCACACGATGCACGCCTACAACCTCAGCCGCAACATCTCGCACAGCCAGACCATGAAGTGAGTAGCGTCTCGGCCCACCAGCTGGGAATCCCTTCAACATTCTCTTTATCTCCCTGTTTCAGCATCATGCCCATGAGCAAAGAGCTGTCGCCGGAGCTGGAGACACCGCCAGCACTGCCGCCCAAGAACTACAAGCAGCGCAAGGCCAACAGCCTGGCAGCAGGAGGAGGATCTTCCTCCTCCGCCTCGTCGAAGCCCATCATTCTGACCACTATGACTCCGCCGCCCAGTCCCAAGCCCATTATAGTGACCACAACGACCCCGCCACCCACACCTCCAGCCAGTCCCAAGCCAGGAGCAGCAGCAGTAGGAGCAGGTGCAGCAGCCACTGGCAGCAGCAGCGCCGAGAATGGATCCACAGGCAGGCCGGATAGCCGGATGGCCACGGTCTGTGAGGAGCTCAGCGGCGAGGAGAGCCTGCCAGAGGGAATGCCCTGGTCTCCGGCGCTAGATGGCTATGGTTACTACTGTCACTCCCATCAGCTGCCCAACGAGGTGGACAATGTGGGTCAGATGCCAATGAATACGCCCCAGCTGCTAGACGAACAGGTGGTTGAGGAGGCCACCAGTGAGGTGGTAGCCGGCAATGAGGCTTCCAAACAGCAGCAGCAGCAAGAGGCTGAGGCGGATCCAGAGGCGGTGGCAGCGGCGGAGCATGAGGAGATGCTGATCAATATGCTGGAGGAGGTCAACATCACACGGTACCTGATACTCAAGAAGAAGGACGAGGATGGACCGGAGGTGAAGGGTGGCTACATAGACGCCCTCATCGTGCATGCCAGCCGCGTGCAAAAGGTGGCCGACAATGGTAGGCAAAAGCAAAAGCAAAAGCAAAAGCAAAACCCTTCACGTAGCCATTTTCACACTCATTTACCTCTCAACTCTGCCCCTGTTGTTGTCTCTTGCGCAGCGTTCAGCGAGGCCTTCATCACCACCTTCCGCACCTTCATCCAGCCGATCGACGTGATCGAGAAGCTGACCCATCGCTACACATACTTCTTCTGTCAGGTGCAGGACAACAAGCAGAAGGCCGCCAAGGAGACCTTCTCGCTGCTGGTGCGCGTTGTCAACGATTTAACGTGAGTTTTTACTTTGGGCTTAGGTTAACTTTACCCCTTAAATACGCCTTCGTAAACCCTTTTGTCCAGGTCGACGGATCTCACCAGCCAGCTGCTGAGCCTGCTGGTGGAGTTTGTCTATCAACTGGTCTGCTCCGGCCAGCTGTACTTGGCCAAGCTGCTGCGCAACAAGTTCGTGGAGAAGGTGACCCTGTACAAGGAGCCCAGATTGCATGGCGGCGGAGGAGGAGGAGGCGGACTCGAGCTGGAGCTGGGCGGTGGCGGCAGCTCTGCGGGAGTGAGTGGAGGCGGCGGCAGCAGCAGCGGCCTGCTTGATCTCAAGTCGCTGGAGATAGCCGAGCAGATGACCCTGCTGGACGCCGAGCTGTTCCAGAGGATCGAGATACCCGAAGTATTACTATTTGCCAAAGATCAGTGCGAGGAGAAGTCGCCCAATCTCAACAAGTTCACCGAGCACTTCAACAAGATGTCCTACTGGGCGCGCTCCAAGATCCTGCGCTTGCAGGACGCCAAGGAGCGGGAGAAGCATGTGAACAAGTTCATCAAGATCATGAAGCATCTGCGCAAGATGAACAACTACAACTCGTATCTGGCGCTGCTCTCTGCGCTGGATTCGGGGCCCATAAGGAGGTGGGTTTTCTGGTTAACCTTTCTAAAGGTTTATAGAGCTAAGTTTTTTTGGTTTCTTTTTCTTTCTTTTCCCAGATTGGAGTGGCAGAAGGGCATCACGGAGGAGGTGCGCTCCTTTTGCGCCCTCATCGATTCCAGTTCCAGTTTTCGGGCCTACCGCCAGGCGCTGGCCGAAACCAATCCGCCCTGCATACCCTACATGTAAGTTGAAAGTCTCTCAAAGTTTTTATACCCTACATTTTGCCTTGGGATCAGGGTGTCAAAGGGAATCTATCATGAAATCATTCATTTCAATTCAGAAAACTCTTCTATGCTAATTTTTAAAAGCCTAAAAATCAGTTTACTACATTTAAATTTTAATTTAAAGGTGTTTTAACATTGGAATAGTTATCCATAGTTTATAATAATAATTTTTGGGAAAAGTAAATCTTAAAAAAAATCACAATTCGACCAAAAAAGCATAACATTTAATACAAAAAGCTGTTCTGTTTTAGTTTTAAAATTTAAAAATATTAAAATTTAAATTTAAAATTTAATTTTAAAATTTAAAAATATTAAATATTAAAAATTAAATTTAAAATTGAAAAATATTAAAATTTAAATTTTAAATTTAAAAATATTAAAAATTAAATTAAAAATTTAAAAATATTAAAATTTAAATTTACAATTTACAAATATTAAAACTTAAATTTAAAAATATTAAATTTAAAATTGAAAAATATTAAAATGTAAATTTAAAAATATTAAAATTTAAATTTTAAATTTAAAAATATAAAAATTAAAATTTTAAATTTACAAATATTAAAATTTAAATTTTAAATTTAAAAGTATTAAATTTTAGGCCAATCAAATTTTTAAAAAATTGTGCAATTTCTTGAAATAATTTTTGGGGGAAAAAAAAACTTAAAAAATCCATAATTAAACAAAAAATGCTTTAATTTCAATTCGGAAAGCGGGTTTGTGTTAGTTTTTGTACGTTTAAAAAATCTGCATACTAAATTAAATTTTTTAAAAATCAAGATTTTTTCCAATTTTTACAAATTTTAATGATGTAACCCCTTATCAAATTTTGAAAAAATGGCCCAAGAAATAATTTCTTCCGGACATGGCTAAAAAGATTCCCCTGTTATTCCTGATCAAGAATATAAAAAAAATCATAAAAATCTTCAAGAAAATCAAAATTATTTAAATACTTTAAACCGGTTTTTTTTGGACAAATTAAAGTCTAAAAACGCCCTAGCCAAGTCAAAAAGGCATCAAATTCAATTTGGAAAGCTTTTCTATGCTAGATTTTTCCAGGTTAAGAAATCTGCTTACTAAATTTTTAATTTTAAAAAATCAAGATATTGCACAATTTTTACAAATTTTAATGATGTAACCCCTTATCAAATTTTGAAAAAATGGCCCAAAAATGTTTTTCTTCTGAACATATCTAGAAAGATTCGCCTGTTGATGCTGATCAAGAATATATATGGGTTATGGGGTTGGAAATAACTCCTTCACTAAATAAATTCATATTTCCCCTCAAAAAGACCAAAAATATTTGATTTTTTTAAATGGATTTTTTATTTTATATTTTAATATATTTTTAAGGTATTTTTTATATGTTTTTTAGAGTCGCAAATGAATTCTTTACTTGTTTACAATATAAAAATAATAATAATTATAATTATAATTAATATAATAATAAAATATATTAATGTATTCCTTTCCAGTGGCCTCGTCCTTCAAGATCTGACGTTCGTGCATGTGGGCAACCAGGACTACCTGTCCAAGGGCGTCATCAACTTCTCCAAGCGCTGGCAGCAGTACAACATAATTGTCAACATGAAACGTTTTAAGAAATGGTAACAAACTCAATTATTCAACTTAATTAATTAACTAATTTTGGTTATTTTGTGGCAGTGCCTATCCATTTCGACGCAACGAGCGCATAATACGCTTCTTCGATAACTTCAAGGACTTTATGGGCGAGGAGGAGATGTGGCAGATATCCGAGAAGATCAAGCCCAGGGGACGGCGCCCCGTCAACTACTAAACACCAACTTTATATATACATCTATATATACATATTACAGGATATATACAATATAATTAATATATATCTGCAGAGAGAAAGAGAGAGAGCATCACTATCTCTATATACAAATTATACAAGATATATGATATATGTAGCTGCATCCGAAATACATCGTATATAGTATACACTACCTAAGATATATAGGCTCGACGAGTGGCCAACTACTCCCCCACCAAGTAACTACTAATCCTGGAGAACCATGAGCAACACCACCACCACCACCACCACCACCACCACCACCACCACCACTACCACCTTCACCACCAGCACCAATCCAAGGCCCAGAAATCTTTTTACCGAAGACACAGCAAGAGAACACAACGAATTTTTGGGAGATGGCAAGGAGAAGAGAAGAGGTAACTACCATATATGATAGGGACATCTCTCTAAGCAACCCAGTAACCCAGCACAAGGCGCAATATATAGGCCATGTATACCTTATAAACCTAATACCCCCAGCTCTCCAGCCAAATAACTGATAACCGATGACTAAACTAAACTGAACAGCTGTGTGTGTGTTTTTTAGCAGGGACCGTAAAAATAAGAGTTATGAATTTTTAAAGAGAATTTGAATTTATCTTCAATTTAAATAAAAATAAATTACTTTTTTTTTAATTTTTTAGGTAAAATAATTTAAGATAAAAATTTAAATAAATATTTATTTCTAAAAGTCCTTATTTATTTTACAAAAATAATTCCTTAAATTTATTTCAAAATAATTTTAAACAGCCACTAATTTTTAATCCAAAAATTAACGTTTATTCCCCGATTTTTATATTCAAAAAATTCATATTAATTACGGTCCCTGGTTTTTAGAGCAAACTTAACTGAAAAAAAAAACTAAAGAAAATCAAACTCAAAATCGAAAACCCAAGTAGAGGCGGATATCCAATCAATCAATCAATCAAATCAATCAAAAACAAAAAACAAAAACGAACCTTCCTTCAATTAAACGAAGCAACTTCTAAAGTTAACCACAAACGAGATATAAATTCAATTTGCTTTTAAATGTAAACAACAAAAATATTTATGGTTAAAAAAACGGAGGAGCTATAACGATAGGGAGAGATGGAGGCTAAGCGGGAGAAGGAAGGATAATATAATATATATATACCCCTTGAAGAAGAGTAAAGCTCTCCATAAATATACATCAAGTATATATATAAAGTGTAAATTAGATACAAGTTTAAGAGACACCAACCTGTCCAGTCCCGGGCCTTTTGAAGGCTGCGTAATGACAAAGAGAGGAATTCTCCCCTATATATATGTATATATATATATATATATATATACACTATATACTATATATATATATGCATTGGCCTCTGTCCATGCCTTGATCCCCCATCCATGATCCTTAGTCAAAATACATACAAGTGAAATGTACAAAACCTAAAGGAAGAATTAACTCGGATTCTTGGCTTAACTTTAGTTTTCGTTTATTTTTTTTTTTTTTATGATAATAATGTAATGTAAGCTTCTGTTTTGTTAATTAAATAATTACTGATTGTATGTACATGTACTGAGGGGGTTTAACGAATGTATTCTGCACACACACACACACCATACACACCCACAACACCCACATAAACACGCACATAGGAAACAAGACTGTCTCTTAGGATATATATGTATATGTAGTTGTATTTCATTTATCTAAACAAGCTACATATATGGTATGTACTGCTTAAATTACAACAAATTGTTCAAAACGGCAACTAAAACTACACACACACCACAACACACAACAAAAAATATAAGAAAACAAAAACAAAAAAACAAGGAACAAGGAAGCCTATATAGTATATATCCGATATCTGTATGTTTTAGTCATTGCTTTGTATGTGCCTCTATTATCTATTATCGATTTTGGATGTTTGTGTATATGGTATTTCCACAACAACAACAACAACAAGAACAACATCAGTTTTAAATTTTAAATTTTAAATTTTAAATCTACATTTACACTTTTACTAAAAAGAAAAACTAAGAAACGTGTAATCTAAAACAAAGAACGAAGAGAAACGGCCTGGCGGAGGATATTATTATTACTACATAATATAAATAATTAAAACAAAGAGAAGGCATTAATTATTTATATTTTTAATAAGCTAACGAACCTAAGTAACGAATAAATTATTCGTTTTTCTTTCTATATATGCTTTTTTTTATTTGTATGTCTCTCCCGTTTCTTAAATTAAATTAAATACTTTTTGTATATGTATGTATGATGAAACCTAACTGATTAGTTTATACAATGTACTTTCGTTTCCCCCAAGAGCCCCCAGAAGAGAAAAGAAAAAACATAAGTAGAGCAATTTTCAATTGTAAATGTATTTGTAACTAAATGTTATGCGTGTAATTCGTAAGAAGAATGAAAATATAGCTACACAATCAATGTATTTTTCCTTTAAACGAAAAACGTCTTTTTATTGGGTTGGAGCAGGGATATATCCAGGTAACAGCGGAATTGCCGTTGCAAATTGATCCAAAAGGTACGTATACAAGCTGGATGAGCATCTCTGGTGGCAAGTGGGATGTCATTTTCTTCCAATAGATTATTTATTATGCGCGATTTTATAGCCTCCCAATATTGCAATATAGCTAGATGAGCATCACTGATAAAAGTGAGCATCACTGCACTTTCGGCTGATTTATGAGATTTTTAAAAATTGGTTTCCTGCCTATTTTTGTTAGAAAAATTATTTTAAAATTACAGGTAAGTATTTCATTAAAACTGAGTAGGCAGTTTTGTTAAGCGTAGAAAAGGCAACTCAAAACAGTTTTCCGAATTGAATTTCATGCGTTTTTGGATGAATTATGAACATTTGAAAATGAGGTTTTTTTCTGGCTGAGTTATGAACCTCTGATATTTAGTTTTTTGCTTCTTGTTGTTTAAAAAATTCTTTAAAAATTACAGGTAAGTATTTCAGTAAAACTGAGTAAGCAGCTTTGTTAAGCGTAAAACAACGAACTCAGAACAGCTTTCCGATTTGAATTTCATGCGTGTTTGGATGAATTATGGATGGAATTATGTCAAATTAAATCGATCCAATTTTTCAAAAATATGAAAGGGGTGCCATCATTAAAATTCTCAAAAATTTAGAAAAAATTACATTGAAAACGTAGTATGCAGTTTTGTTAAGCTTAGAAAAAGCAACTCAAAACAGCTTTCCAAATTGAATTTCATGCATTTTTGGATGAATTATGAACATTTGAAAATGAGGTTTTTTTCTGGCTGAGTTATGAACCTCTGATATTTAGTTTTTTGCTTCTTGTTGTTTAAAAAATTCTTTAAAAATTACAGGTAAGTATTTCAGTAAAACTGAGTAAGCAGCTTTGTTAAGCGTAAAACAACGAACTCAGAACAGCTTTCCGATTTGAATTTCATGCGTGTTTGGATGAATTATGAACATTTGAAAATTAGTCAAAATGTCAAATTAAATCGATCCAATTTTTCAAAAATATGAAAGGGGTACCATCATTAAAATTCTCAAAAATTGAGAAAAAATTACATTGAAAACGTAGTATGCAGTTTTGTTAAGCTTAGAAAACGCAACTCAAAACAGCTTTCCAAATTGAATTTCATGCATTTTTGGATGAATTATGAACATTTGAAAATGAGGTTTTTTTCTGGCTGAGTTATGAACCTCTGATATTTAGTTTTTTGCTTCTTGTTGTTTAAAAAATTCTTTAAAAATTACAGGTAAGTATTTCAGTAAAACTGAGTAAGCAGCTTTGTTAAGCGTAAAACAACGAACTCAGAACAGCTTTCCGATTTGAATTTCATGCGTGTTTGGATGAATTATGAACATTTGAAAATTAGTCAAAATGTCAAATTAAATCGATCCAATTTTTCAAAAATATGAAAGGGGTACCATCATTAAAATTCTCAAAAATTGAGAAAAAATTACATTGAAAACGTAGTATGCAGTTTTGTTAAGCTTAGAAAAAGCAACTCAAAACAGCTTTCCAAATTGAATTTCATGCATTTTTGGATGAATTATGAACATTTGAAAATGAGGTTTTTTTCTGGCTGAGTTATGAACCTCTGATATTTAGTTTTTTGCTTCTTGTTGTTTAAAAAATTCTTTAAAAATTACAGGTAAGTATTTCAGTAAAACTGAGTAAGCAGCTTTTTTAAGCGTAAAACAACGAACTCAGAACAGCTTTCCGATTTGAATATTATGCGTGTTTGGATGAATTATGAACATTTGAAAATTAGTCAAAATGTCAAATTAAATAGCTCATAACTCGGCCAAAAATGCATGAAATTCAATTTGGAAAGCTGTTCTGTGTTGCCTTTTCTATGCTTAACAAAACTGCATACTCAGTTTTGCTAAAATACTTACCTATAAAAATGTGAACTTCACAACTCGGCCAAAAATGCATGAAATTCAAAACCTAGTATGCAGTTTTGTTAAGCTTAGAAAAGGCAACTCAGAACAGTTTTCCAAATTTAATTTCATGCATTTTTGGCGGCTGCGATGACAGACCTCAACCCGATGGCAGTGGAGGACGGTGATCGGATCTTGGCTCCGGGCTAGTTACCCTGCAGCAGTCGTAAATAATTAAAATATTTATAAATACAATTTAAATATGTAAATGTAATTGAAGGAACACACAAATATGGATCAATAAAAGAACGTGAAATCCATGTGGAAATGTTTGTTGAAGTCGGCATTTATTTGGAGGCCTTGGGATAGTTTTTCTGAATTTTCAAATTTTTTCTTTATTTTTAAAATTTTTTTCAGATTTTTTAGTATTTTTTAGATTTTTTTTAGAATTTTTTAAATTTTTTTAAATATTTTAACTGCCAAATTTGAATTTGAATTTAACTGCCAAATTTGAATTTGAATTCAACGACGATCAGTGATGCTCATGTGCATCAGTGATGCTCATCTGGCTATATATTGCAATATTGGGAGGCAATATATTGCAATATTGGAAGGCATCAGTGATGCTCATGTGCATCAGTGATGCTCATCTAGCTATATATTGCAATATTGGGAGGCAATATATTGCAATATTGGAAGGCATCAGTGATGCTCATCTGGCTATATATTGCAATATTGGGAGGCAATATATTGCAATATTGGAAGGCATCAGTGATGCTCATGTGCATCAGTGATGCTCATCTAGCTATATATTGCAATATTGGGAGGCAATATATTGCAATATTGGAAGGCATCAGTGATGCTCATCTAGCTATATATTGCAATATTGGGAGGCAATATATTGCAATATTGGAAGGCATCAGTGATGCTCATGTGCATCAGTGATGCTCATCTAGCTATATATTGCAATATTGGGAGGCAATATATTGCAATATTGGAAGGCATCAGTGATGCTCATCTAGCTATATATTGCAATATTGGGAGGCAATATATTGCAGTATTGGAAGGCATCAGTGATGCTCATCTGGCTATATATTGCAATATTGGGAGGCAATATATTGCAATATTGGAAGGCAATATATAGCCAGATGAGCATCACTGATGCAGATGAGCATCACTGATGCAATTCCTAAAATTTGGCCGCTTCCCAAACTGGAGTAACAGGCGAACAGAAACCAGCAGCAAGCAACTGAAAACTGGTATAAACTGTTATAAAAACTTTTGGGCAAAAATAATAATTGGTATAAACTGTTATATTCCATTTTATGCATTTATACCTTTTTTCTGCCGGCAACAACCACTTGATTGCAACAACAACCCCTTTACAACAACATCCCTACAGCAGCCCATCCAAATTTCCGAACATTTCCATGCAAATTGCCCGTTTCCCAAATTGGGGTAACAGGCGAACAGAAATCAGCAGCAAGCAACTGAAAACTGGTATAAACTGTTATAAAAAGTCCAAGTTTCGAACCATTTAAGAGTCGGAGCAAGTAAGCGGAGACTCAAACCTTTTGAATCCAAATTTAGGTGTTATTTTACAACTGCACCTGGGCACACTGAAACTGATCGTCGTTAAATTCAAATTCAAATTTGGCAGTTAAATTCAAATTCAAATTTGGCAGTTAAAATATTTTAAAAATCCAAAAAAAAATTTTAAAAATCTAAAAAAAACGTTAAAATATTAGAAAAAAAATTTAAAAATTCAGGAAAAAATTTAAAAATTATGAACAAAAATTAAAAATTCAGAAAATTATGTTAAAATTTAAAAAAAATTACATTTGGCTTTCAACAGATTTTTTTCCAAACAATCCCAAGGCCCCCAAATAAATGCCGCTTAAACCACACAATTCCACATTGATTTCCCTTTTTTTATTGATTCAAATTTGTTTGTTCCATCAATTACATTTACACATTTAAAATGTATTTATAAATATTCCAATACTTTGCGCCTGCTGGGCTTCAACTAGCCCGGAGCCAATATCCGACAACTGCCATCCGCTTGAGCTCCGCCATCCCAGCTGCTTGCTCCTCCAGCTTCACCTCTGCCGATCCGATGATCATCAATCAACAATTACAATGATGACTAGGATGAACTATTGCTTCGCAGATCGCTGTGCACGCTCTCGTTATCACCATCCTTTTGCGTGTGTCGTTGGTCCTTTCGTGATGGAAAGTCTGTAATTGAAATGAGAAAAACAGAAAATTAAAAACTAAAAAAGCCATAACTCTGTCAAAAATGCCTTAATTTGCATTCGGAAAGCGGCGTTATGTTAGTTTTTATAAGGTTAACAAATCTGCATACTTAGTTAGAAATGCAAAATTTTATCAAATTTTGAGAATTTTAATGATGTAACCCCTTATCAAATTTTGAAAAAATCACAAAAAAATTTTTTTCTCCGGAGTTGGCTTAAACGATTCGCCTGTTAATGCTGATCAAGAATATATATGGTTTATGGGGTCGGAAATGACTCCTTCAATGCGTAATGAGCTTCGGACTGGAAATAAAATACCCTGCAAGGGTATAAGGATACTAGAATATTTGCATGGAAAACTCTGGCCAAATCGCTGGGACTTGGCCTGAGATTTTCATTCGGAAAGCGGAGTTAGGTTAACAAATCTGCATATTTTTTTTTACCTTCATTTAATTTAATAAATTAAAATACTTACCTATAAAAATGTGAACCACACAACTCGGCCAAAAATGCATGAAAATCAAACATTTAAAAAATCTAAAAAATCCAGGTACCTACATCAACCACAATACTTACCAATACAACATTATTTATTTTTATAAATAAAACTCTCCGATTTGTTTTTATTATTCTTTATTGATCTGACCATTCATTTCTGTTGTTTCGTAATTTCTATTTATTTGATTGATTTAATATCTTAGGGCTAAACGTTAACGTAATTGCAAACGAAAGGTGCCTCGGCCATGGAGGTATGTATAAGTATGTATTCTGTATATTTTTCATTACTCAACTAATCAGCAAATTCTGGCAAAAACAATAAAAAATACATCAAAAAAAAAAAAACGAAATAAATGTGTCCTTTTATTTTGCAACTCTAACAAAAAGGAAAAGGCACCCGTATACAAATAAAAAAAAAGAAGCCAAAGGCAAACAAAACAAATTAGAATTACGACAGCGCGATAACAATTAAGAAATAAATGTACAAATATGTTAGATGTGTGGGTGTGTGTGTGTTGCTTGTGTGTGTGTAAATTAAATGCTATAATTTCCAAGTGTGTTTGGTCTCTGGACACGATCCAGGGGCATCGAAACCGTATCGTATTCGTATTCTTGTAATCATTACAAATCCTTGCTACACACAAATACATATAGAAATGTTGGGTCAGAGGCGGCATGTCCTGTGTGCCCTTTTTTTTGATCCCCTGACCTTGGGGGAGGGGGGGAGGGGGTGACTTACGGCCTAAACTACGTACAATATGTATACTCCTATTGTCGTTACAAACATTTACAGCTTATATCCTAGACGCAAAACGCACATCGAAGTTTATGTAGTCCGATAATATTACCTATATGTCTATATAATAGCTCATGCAGGGGGGGGGTAGAGGGGGGGATATGCTACGAGAGAGAGGAGATATATAATTGGAAAACTCATATACATGATTTTAAGTATGCTGCAAGTAAGTAAGTGAACCGCAGTCTCTTCTATCGTTGCCACAAAATGCATTTTGCAATTTGTGATCTTGGTCAATTGATAGATGGTTATACATATATATATATGTATATATATTTCCTGTAAATGGTTCTTGGGTTTTCCTAGGTTTTTTTTTTTAGGGGGGACTTTGGGGTATTTATTCTCTTTGAGGCACTTGTGGCTTGGCTAACGACTTTGCTTGGCAAACTTAAAAAAAAAAAAAGAAAAAGGGGGAAAAATTCTAATACAATTTTGTGCAAATGTGGGAGAAGAGGAGTATTTGGAGGTGTGTGTGTGTGTGTGCATAGACTTGATCCTTTAAGCTTTCCCCTAACTCTCATTATTTGTTTTCTGCTAACGACTATCAGTACTTTACCCTGCACAAAATGACATCTACATATATATTTTGTATATTTTTGTGTTTTGAATATTATTAAATGCTTTTAATATTATTAAAAAAAATTATTTTAAAATGTGTGTGTTGGTTTCCAAACTAAAAAAAATTATTTTAAATTTTGTTAGCATTTTAAAATTAAATTTAATATAGCATTTACTGCCATGAAACGCACTGTAACAAATGCCTAGACCTTGTCTCTATCCAACTCATGGCTCTTGCTTCTCTTTCTCTATTTCAATCTTATGACTAGATGCACTTTTCTCCTAAATCTAAATCTAAATTGTAAGTTTGAAAACCCTTTTTTTTAACACACACACACACACACATATTCACCTTGGGGGGGATGGGGGTGTTAATAATTTCCTAGAGTCTCTGCCCTTCTCTGATTTCATGTAAAATCTTAAAAAAAAAATATATTAGGTGGTGTTGATACAAGGTACAAGAAACTAAGAAAAAACTAATCCCGGGAAAGCCGAAATTTAAATATCCTTGCAGGGATAATGATAATGATAAAAACAATATTTAGTCGAGCTACTTTGAAACAATAAAAAAGGCAACTAAATGTTGGTAAAGTTGTAAACAAAATTTATGTATATAAAAATATATATAAAAAAATATATATACATTTATAAAAATATATATATAAATGTATATACAACTATATATAAAAATATAAATATTATTAAAATTTATATTATTATATATATTTAAATATATATAAAAACAAATAAAAATTATGTTTAAAAGCAGCAAACTCTAAATCTTCTCTTTCCCTGCAAGGACTTGAAAATACCTAAAATATGGCTTAAACTTAGGCATGCAACTCAAACAAAAATCAATTAATTAATTAATTAATAAGCCAACCCTAAATCGTAGACGTAAAATTAGACAATAAAAAAATTTGTATACCGTTGAAACATTTGGCAGTCGAAGGAGAGATGGGCTCCAAATTTCGATTCTTCATGCATACTCCCTACTATCTATATATGGCGAAAGTTCCAGGTGATGCTGAGAGTGTGTGTTTGTGTGTGTGATGTGTGTTATCTGTCTAGCTTGGTGGGGAGTACGTATGTAGGAGTTGCTATCCTGGAATAATTTAGAGTTTCGAGTTGTCATCGGCAGCTGTATCCAAATCCAATGAGCCCGCAGCAGTGGCTGCCTCTGTGGGCGAGGCATTTGTGCTGGGCGACTGGGAGGGGGCAGGGTACTTGCACGAGGCCGTAAGGCAGCGACAGCCAGCGCTAGAACGATGCTCTGCCCGCCAGAATTTCTCACCATAATCGTAGCTGTAAAAAATTAAAAAATAAACTTAAAAATTGAATCACTATAACTTGACTTTTTCACATACCATATCTCCTCGCCGGCATCAATGTCGCGGCATGCAAAGAATGCAATCTTGGGAAAACGATAATCTTGGTGCTCGTAAAACACCCGCACTGCCAGGACATTCGGTTCGCAAGAGTGATTGAAAAAACGCGTCACATTGCCATAATAATTGGCATCTATGCAATGGCCATTGTCCAGATCAAAGTAGTAGCTGTCGTCGGTCCTGCGATCCGCCTCTAGAGCGGTGAGTATCTCGCCCGTATAGCTGGCCACAAAGGTGCCTTTGGGCACATTGGCCAAAGCTTTGACGCCCCAGCCCTTGGCCTGTTCCTCGCACTCCACAATCTGCAGCGGAGTTCGTGTGCCATTCTGTACAACGCGATTCTTGCAGGAAAGCTAAACGAATCAAGTTGGAATGTGGGTTACCTCTCAAAATGGGTAACAAAAACTCACCTGATTGCAACCACAGACATCGTTGCACTCGAAAATCACCGCCGGATCCTCATAGTTAAAGTCTGCCGTTAGCCTGCTTTCGGCAGTGTACCAATTCTGCGAAGAGGCTCCATTGCACTGACAGCGATCGCTGCTGCAGCTGTCCGGACAGGAGCAGATGCGCATCTGGGAGACCCTGCGATCGATTTGCACCGAATTCTGCTGAATGATGCACTGGGTGACATAGCGAAAGTCCGGCCACAGCAGCGAATCCGCCTCATCCTCGCTCTCGGACATGGCCAGCTCGTTGCGCACCGCCTGAATGGGACGCGCCTCGCGTCCATTGGAGGCATCTGCACACACGACCAGGGTGCGCAGGCCCAGCGGGCGAAAGCTACGCATCTGCATGTTAAAGCCCACGGTGCGTCCGCATTCGGACTCCTCGTTGGGTATGCAGTCAAAGGGCAGCTGCTCGGCCTTGTTCTTGATCATCAAATCGGCCCCGTTGGCAATCAGGGCTATGCACATTCGTGTCACCTCATGGCGGCAGGCAATGTGGCTGTAAGAAAGGTGTGTTTGTTAGTGGAGGAGCTCCTGGTTTCCCCAGGTTTTTTGGAGTACTCACAGCGGCGTGTCACCCTCCACATTCTGGACATTGCAATCGGCGCCCGCCTGCAGCAGCACTGTGATTGTGTCCAGGCCATCGTTGTGCAGCGTGGACCAGTGGAGCACCGTGTTGTTGTCATTGTCGCAGATGTTTGGATCGGCATCCTGGTTGAGGAGGAAGCTAAAAAAGAGAGAGGGAGAACCATTAAATTCAAGCTGATTCCCGCCAGGTCTTAACCAAAAACTCACCTAACAATGTCCGTGTGTCCCAGCTCTGCTGCCCACACCATGGCCGTCCATCCGCCCTCGTCCTGTGCATCAATGAAGCTCAAAAAGCTGGTGATATTCCGCGAGGCCCGATAGCTCTCCACAATCAGCTGCGTGGCCTCCACATTGCCCAGCTTGGCGGCTATATGCAGGCAGGTCTTGCCATCGGGTCCCTTTCAAAAAAATAGACTTTCGATTAGCAAAAGAGAGAGAGAGAAGAGCGGTTCTCTTCACCCACCTTAATGGCCACATCGGCACCGCATTGCAGGAAAAGATTCAGCATATCGCACTTCTCGTTCATCACCGCACACATCAATGCCGTCCTCAGCTCGCTGTCCACAATGTTGACAAAATCCTGGGAGCTGGCTCCTTTGCAGAGCAGCAGGTAGGCCATCTGGAGGGTGCCCGAGTGGGCCACTAGATGCAGGCAAGTGCCATTCAGGTACTCCCGAATGGGGGTCAGCACATTGAAGTCGGCAGCTGTACAGAAATAAGTAATAAATAAATACATATTAGAGCTGGAAACATTATCAGCTTACCCAAAATCTCAGCCACTCGCTCTAGATCATCGTTCTGCACGGCATAGTACATGTCCCGTGAGGTAAACTCTGTGGTTACGCGTCCACTGGCCGAAACCACATGCCCCCGGAGCACCACATTCATCACAGAGTCGGGTATCAGCTGGGCAAAGTTGATCGTATTGAGAGCCTGGCCAGAGGAGTTGGTACAAGCCTTGCCACCTCCTCCCCGTGTTCCATTTGTTTTGGTAGCCGCCACTACAGAGGCGGGGGAGGAGGATGAGGAGGAGGCCTTGCCCTTGGCCTTGGCACCTGGACTGGTTTTGCCGGCGGAACCAAACTGGGCCAAATGCGAGGCGGTGGTCAGCTTGGCGGGTTTGCTGCGGGTTAAAAAATAAGAGAAAGAAGAGGTTTCTTAGCTGGAGAGTTGGGAAGCTGGCTGGGATCTACTCACATCTTGTACTTTTGAGTGGGCAAAAAGACGGGCAGCGTCTGGCACTTCATGGTCACGGTGGAGGTGCGTTCGGGTGTGTCCACCCCGCAATGGGGGCACTTTAGCACCAGCATGGGACTGCTGAACTTGGGGCCCCCCGGCTGCTGCTCGGCACCGCCGCCGCTGCGACCCTCGTCATAGGGAGTGTTCAGGATAAACCGCTGGGCGCAGTCCGGATGAAAAAAGTGCTGCTGCTTGCACAGCACAAATTTTCCCTGAAAAAAAGGAGATACAATATTTTTAAAGAATTAATTAAAAAATAAATAAATTAAGAAATAAATAAAAATAAATAAAGAATAAAATGGATAATAATAAATAAAAAAATAATAATAAATAAAATTAATTAATAAAAAATAAATAAGTAAATAAATAAATAAAAATATTTAAAAAAATAAATAATAATAATAAATAAATAAAATAAATAAACAAATAAAAATAAATAAATAAATAAAAATATTAAAAAAAATAAAATAAAATAAATAATCAATAAATCCTATAAAAAATAATAAAAAATAAACCTAAACAAAACCCTTACCTGGGTGCAAAAGATGCCACATCCTGCACAGCAATTGTGCGAGTGCAGCCGCTTCTTGTGCTCGTCGCAGAGGATCATGTAGCTCACCCGCTGGCTGGGCCGCAGGAGATTGTGCACCTCCGCGGAGAGCTCATTGCAGCAGCCAATCTTCTGCTCGTCAATGTGATCGATGGCACAGCAGTAGGACGAGTCGGGGGCATTCCGGGCATAGTACTGCGAACTCTTCTGGCACAGGCACAGGAACTTGGCCAGCTTCGAGGTGCTGGGCGTGGCAGCAGCATCCACATCCATGGCATCCGCCAGGATGGAGCTGTTCAGCGAATGAAGCTGTGCTGCATCGAGGGTGGATATGGCGCCACCTGCTGCTGCTCCTGCTGCTGCAGCTACTCCTCCCCGGACACCACCCACCCGGCGCGTTAGTTTGGGGGGCTGCACAGCCACATTTGAGGCTGCTGCTTTGAGAGATTTAAGAGTAGCTGCAGCAGCAGCGGCCGACGATGTCGTGGGCCCTTCCTTGGTGACCGTGTTGCGCACTCTCAGCGTCACACTGGGCTTGCCCACCTGCACCCGGGTGGTGGGCACAAACTCATTGTCCGTATTGGAGCTATCGTTGTCCGAGGCCTCCTCACTGTGATTCCTCTGGAGGCCCAGATGCTTTAGGTGTTTCTCCTTCTGCTTGGCCAGCTTCCGCTGCTGCTTCTTGTTCAGCTTTCGCTCCTCGGGCGAACGATTCGCATTGAAGCGGCACGCCTTGATGTCGCTAAGGAACTGCTCCACATCCGGGCATGGCCTTACCTTGCTCTTGGCCAGCTGGGCAGCACCATAGTTCTCAATGTCGCGCTGGGACTTGGAGAAGAGTCGCTTCTTGATGGCACTCGTACCAGCTGGATGTCCTGGCAGGCCCTCAAAGTTGCTGCCATCCGATTTGTCGCTCTTCTGGCGGGATGTCGACGAGTTAGAGCCATTGCCGCCGGTCGGTGACGTTTCAAAGTCGCCATCCGCTGCCGCTGCAGCGGTTTCCCAGTGCGTCATCCGCTCAATGTGCTTCGTTTCGAACTCGCAGCGCAGCTCATCGTTCTCCAGGATCTTGGGCGTGGGCTTGATTCTCCTCTTGGAGCGCTTGGGCAGTTGCACTTCTGCTCCTCCAGGACCAACCTTGTTCTTGTTGTTGTTGCTCCCATTGGTCAGAGTGTGCAGCGTGGAGGATGAGGTGGAAGTTCCTGGCTCCAGTTTCGCACCTGGCTGAATCTTGGCCTTGCGTCCCCTTTTCTTGGGCGGCGTCTTCTCGTCCGGAACAGTGGCTGGCGGCACCAAAACCGTGGTGATCTCCGTCAGCGGTAGATCTCTCTCGGGAGGCGGCGTTATCTCTGTCTTCACCTCCTCCCACGTAGCCCCATCGGCGGTATGGCGATTCCCCAAGCGTACACTGCGCCGCATTCTTTTGCTGTCGCCACTGGGAGCATTTCCCAGATCTGTCAGTTCTTCGTGCTCTGTTTTTACCACCATTACCAGGTCGGAAGCTAGCTGCTGATCTAGAGGCTCCTCAGGCAGCTTCCGCTTTCGTCCTGGCTTTCGTTCCACCACGGTCGCCTCCTCGACGACCTGCTGCTGCTGCTGCTGGTGCGGCGCTTCGACCATGGCATCAATATCGCCGCCCTCTGGCCTTATCTTTTTGGCACGTCCTCGTCCACGCTTGGGCGCAGGTGCTGGCACTTCCTCCAGGGAGGTAGGTGAAGGTTTCTCCGGCTCCTTCTTGACCTCCAGCTCCACGGCAGCACCATCAGCGATACCTGACACCTCCTCACTCACGTCTATTTGCATCTCCTCCTCAAGGGGTTCGGTGGCATCCACGGGTGCTGCTGGTTCATCGGCGCGCGGAGTGGGAGTTGGCGTTGGCGTGGACGTGGGAGTAGGTGTGTCTGTGGGTCGCGGTGTGCGGCGCGAACGACGCGTTCCGCCAGGCGAAACTTGTTCCTGCAACAGACAGACACTCATTCAATGCTTGGGACACACACAGATCTCACGAAAATCCCCCGTTCGGTTTGGCTTTGAGTCGCAAAAGAACAGAAGAAGACCAGGTATGTCCGTCCGTCGTAAAGGAATGCCCGAGTGCCAGACTGGGGCTGGCTTCGTCGGTTGCCAGGGCAACGGATACTACCAAACACACACGGGGCCAGGCCAGCTGGTAGGCCCAAGGAGCACACGGTGGGTTCGGTGGATGGAAGATGGCTTCTACCCTTGTAGATGCAATTACCAGGAGCCTAACTACTTACTACTACTGTTTATCTACTTTTCTTCTGAGTTATGTATGACGGAGCAGCAGTTGGTAAAAGGCCCAGGGAAAGCGAACAGACTTTGGGGGATCTATTATCATTAATGCCTAACTTTTAAGTTGTAAGTGGGGAAATGTTTCTCTATAGAATATAACCTACTCTTTCACTTTTTTAATTACGAATTATGCAATGGGGTTTATAAAATATTTATTTATACATTAATTAGCATTTTAATCTATATAATTGAGGTTTAATTAAAATGAAGTTAGTTTATATATTAAAGCTGTCAATTTAATTTATTTTTTATAAATTTCTAAAATGAAAAAAAGCCATGTACACCTGGTTATTTTAAGAAAACGGACAGACAAGAGCGTAGTTGAAAATATATCGAAAGTTATTTAGGTATTTTAACAGAAAAATCGATTTTAAATCGATAAAAATATATTATGTAAGTAGTAAATCTTTTCGCAACCAATAATAATCAAATAATAATAATAAGAATCGATTTTGTATTCCATCTTTAATACTCTTTTTCTCGAATAATTATTAAATTTTAAATACTGTAAAATAAATACATTTTAAACCTATATTTAATGATGATCCAGAATGTTTACAACGAGAAATGTGAATTAATTTAATTAATAATTAATTCATTAAGTAATAATAAATACCCTATCTCTACTATGCATTTATGTTTCATTCGGCTATATTTTCTTGTCGTTTCTACAAAGAAACCCTATAAATAATCAACGTTATCTACGGTTGACTGAATTATTAAAAGGAAACAAAGGTCTATTTCATCTTGAATGCTATATCTTCAAGTCTATAAATATCATAATATTTCATAATTAATATTGTAAAAATATTAAGTTTAAACCGATAAAGAATTGTAAAAAAAATCTAATTGATTATCCAAAATTAAACCTGTTATCTGTAATATTCCTTCTTTAATAGTGCATTATATTCCATATTAAATACAGCTAAAGAGGATTACTTGAAAGTAAAACCAATATGGAGCTCCTCCTGTTATCTGCTCTGTTCTTTTTCCCCCCAGTTGTTAACTGCAAACAAGGTATTTGTAAGCAGATAAGGAGCGTTACCATACCGCCTTGAATAACCTATTATTATTAAGCTCAGCATGGTGACTATAGACATAAAATGCATTTATTTTCCAAGTTTTATGTGGGGTTTATGAGTTTCGCCAACTTTTACAACGACTTCCGCTACGATGAGTTATAGTTTGTGTTATCTGGGCTAGAGATACTATCCCACAGATTAGATATAAGCATATATAAACTTGTAATTTGGGAAAGTCGGACTCTAAATAACGATCGAACGGCAAGTGGTTAAAGTTAAACATTTCTAAAGATTTTAAACCAAAACGTGTGAAGCTTGAAAGCTCGTCATAGTTTTTTCTTCTTTTTTTTTTTGTCGAGTGACCAATGTTAAAGCTTTTCCCTCGGCGACCATAAAAAAACAAAATATGTACATGAAACATCTGTTGGCTGTTCGGGAGTTAAACCCAGAATCTAGCTCAAAATGCAGGGAAAAATGGAGATGGGGGGAAGCAGAAACTATAGCAAAAACTAAAAAGGGGACTTCCGATAGCTTGGGCGCGTGAAAGTGAATCAAACAATTGAAGCAAACGAACAGAAAATAACAAAAACATACGAAAATACGAAATAAAAACGAGGCACAGGAATTTCGAACCTCATACACACACACACACACACACACCCAGACACACTGGCACACATGTACGTACGTTTTTATCAGCTGCTGTTGCTGCTGCTGCTGCTGCCTCTGACAGCGTCGCTGCTGGCTCGCTGCTGCTGCTGGTGATGGCAATGTTACTGCTATTATTGTTATTGCTGCTGCTGGTGGTGGCCACATTCGAATCTGTTGCGTCAGCCGGGACGACGACGTCGACGCTGGCAGAATTGACAACAAGTGGAGATGCTGATTTTGATGGCGATTTCGAAGCTGCGCTTGCTTTGGCTTTAGCTTTTGCTGCCTCATCTTGTTCATCATCTTCTTGTCCCAGTGTTGCAGCCTCTTTGGGCTGCTCAGTCTTGATGCCGCTGCTGTCCTCTGCCGACGTCGCTGCATTTGCACTTTTCTCTGCCAGTTCGCTTTCCACCTTTACTGTTATGCTAGTGGTATTCTGTGGCTCCACCTCGTCCTCCTCTTGCTCCTTTGCCTGCTTGTAATCGCTCTCTTTTGCACTCTCTTCCTCCTGTCTGTCTCCAACGGCCCGCTCTCTTTGCTGCTGCTCCTCCGCCAATGTTGCCTCCTTTTCCTCTGCGCCCTCTACACTCTGGCCTTGGAGCGCTGCTTGCGTCGGTGTAGCTGATGACTCTGCCTCTGCCGCCGCCGCTGCTGCTGCTGCTGCTTCCTCCTCCAGCTTTACGGCAGCGGCATCCACAACATCGGCGAGCAGCTCCTTGATATTATCCTCAATTTCCTCGGGTTTCTCCTGCGCCCGTTCCAGCTGCTGCTCCTTATCCCGCTGCTCCTCCTCCTTATGCTTTTTGTCCTTGCAGGCGAACTGATTGTTGGCCAGATTGCGCCACTTGAGGGTTTTGTCCTCGGCCAGGTCCAGGTTCAAGAGGGTGCCGCCCTCCGCCGTGCTCGTGGCACAGTCGCTATTGAATGTGCTGGACATGCTGTTCATCAGCTCCACATAGTCCGTCATCTTTTCGCCTCAACTTTTTCACTGCGTTTCACAACAACAATAACTGTGTTTCACACACACACACACACAGACGAACTCGCGCGCACGCACACACTTGTTTTCATATACCGTTTTCACCGTGCTTTTCTTGCGGTCCTTCTTTGTTTTTGATTTCTGAATTCTGAAGAAGAATCAATATCCCATCAGTCAGTTTTTTAGCGTTTTTTTTCGGTCCGAAGAAGCACAGCGGCCATCAATTGGCTCTGGAACATGAACATATAGGCGATAAGATTGCTGCCTCTCTGCCTCGGTCGCTGGCGGCAGCGCTCAGCAGCAGCGGATTCGTGGCTGGTCGAATTATTAAATTTGTTCGTTCCTTTTCTTTTCTCCGTTATTATCTATTTGGCCATCATTATTGCCTTAAGATTTTCCCGTTTATTGCGAACATTTTCGTGTGCACGTTGTGGCTCGGGAATGAAAATGAAAACGAAATGGAGCTAGCCCCGCCCCCCCATTTCCCCCGTCCACACTTCTCGCCCTGCCTTTTTTATACTCGCTTTGCGCTCACGTAAAAAAAACCAACAACAAATAAACAACGCCAGCAGCGCGAAGTCGACGTCGACTGCGCTTTGGTGGCCACAGTTAACTTTTTTCTTCTTTTTCCGTCTTCACACTTTGTTTCTTTTGCTTTTTTTGTTTTTTCACCGAGTGTTTTGAGTAGAACACGCGACGCGTTTTTAGCAAATTCACTAAATAAATTAGGGTCCAAGTTAAGGCTTAGGTTATTAATAATTCGAAGCACTTGGACCTCGTTTAGTGGTTCTTCTCCAAGAAGCGATAAATGTTTTTTACGAACAATAGAGAGAGAGAGAAAAGAGATGAAAAGTGTTGCCAGATAACTTTCCCTAAAAAATCTCAAAAGCAGCAATTTGAACCTAAAAAATCCACAGCTGATACTCGAACCATTCGAATGAGTCGACTGCCGGCGTTGCCACCATTTGCAAATATGATAGATCTAGCTTGAAATAAGCTAAGCATTTAAATCGATGTGAAAAATACTAAATACTAAAAACTAAAACAAGCTAATTATGCTAAAGAAAATTCTGAAAAACAAGATATAATCGAAAAATATACTATACTATTGTTCTTTTTAATTAATTTAAGCTATAATAATTGCAGGTTGGCTCCTAAAAGAGATTATTTTTCTCATTGAAAACCCCAGATTTAGCTAGTAAATAGCTTACTTGGCTACGCTGTCTCACGGTTGCGTCCAAGCAAAAGATAATTGCTAAAAAAAAATAATACAACACAAAAATCACAATTGGGCTTTGTTGTTATTGTTGTTGCTATTAATAAATTAATTAAACACATACACACCCACTGACACGACGCACACAGCCATCAAGCGCAGAGGGGAACCCCACCCCACAGAGAATGTAAGAAAATGCGCATGCGCGGCCGCCGACTGCTACCGATCGTCCTGTCGCTGCTCCTGCTCGTCCTGCTCTGCTCCATCTACTTCTCCGGCCACCAGCGGGAAGCGTCCGCCCCCGACGACGACGACGAGTTCCTGTTGCACCTGCCCGCCGTGGAAGCGGCAGATGATGATGTCGCCTCCACCTTACCCGGACGAAGTGCAGCCACATTACCAGCGGGTCCGCTACTGAACCTCACAGACTTTCAGTATTTGCTGCCCAGCAATGTGTGTCGCAAGGCGGAGCGTGAGCTGCTGGGTTAGTACGATTCCTCCAGGCACCTTTTCGCTGAGATTTGATTTCTCCTCTGTTTTTTTTAGCCATCTTAATCGTCACCTCCTATGCCGGCCACGATGCTTTGCGCTCTGCCCACCGCCAGGCCATACCGCAGAGCAAGCTGGCCGAGATGGGTCTGCAGCGGGTGTTCCTGCTGGCCGCCCTGCCGCCGCGCGAGCGATTCCTCAGCCAGGAGCAGCTGGCAAGCGAACAGCAGCGTTTCGGAGATCTGGTGCAGGGCAACTTTCTCGAGGATTACCGCAACCTGAGCTACAAACACGTGATGGGTCTGCGTTGGGCTTCGGAGGAGTGCAAGGGTCATGCCAAGTTCATCATCAAGCTGGACGACGACATTATCTACGATGTCTTCCATTTGCGGCGCTATCTGGAAGCCCTGGAAGTGGGTCAGCCGGAGCTGGCCACCTCCAGTACGCTCTTGTCGGGCTTTGTGCTGGACGCCAAGCCACCCATACGCCTAAAGGCCAACAAGTGGTATGTGAGCAAGCAGGAATATCCGCATGCCATGTATCCGGCCTACCTGTCGGGCTGGATGTATGTGACCAATCTACCGACAGCTGCTAGGTTGGTGGCGGAGGCGGAACGGTTGCCCATCTTCTGGATCGACGACACCTGGCTAACGGGCGTGGTGAGAGCCAGGCTGGGTATACCGCTGGAACGGCACAACGATTGGTTCTCGGCCAATGCCGAGTTCATTGACTGCTGTGTGCGGGACCTCAAGCAGCATGGCTTCGAGTGCGAGTACTCGGTGGGACCGAACGGTGGCGATGACCGGCTGCTGGTGGAGTTTCTGCATAACGTGGAGAAGTGCTACTTTGATGAGTGCATCAAGCGGCCGGCGGGCAAGTCGCTGAAGGAGACCTGCGTGGCAGCGGCCAAGTCCCGGGCCCCAGAGCATGGCCTGGCCGAGATTAAGCCGCTAAAACTGAGGTGACCTCTGGAAACCATGGCTTAGTTTAGGATTTAGGACCTAAGGAATACCATGTGCAACGGGGGGCGAGGGGGAATACATAGATGTATGTATGTATCCTTCCAAGTCACTCAACTAAGTTGTAGGTTTAACTTTAGTTGTATGCGAAGATTGCTTAATATGATCTTGACCTTTGCTTGGAGATTATCCCTATTGGGAGTCCCGGTAAGTGCATTTTTTTGAATGAATGAATGAATAATAAACCTTGTTTCCCTTTAGAAATTTCAACTCAGCTACGTTTACTTCTCTGAAGCAGATGGGCCAGGATGACCATTGATCTTTAAAGTTCGAGTGTTTTTAACCATAAGCTTTATGGTATGACTAACTTTTTTTTAGGCTAACACAAACCGACTCCGTCCTAACCAGTATGCTAGCTCTTAAGCTCCGCCAATTTCTTTTACAAATGCATTTATACAATTAAATTCAAATAAACTTACGATATTCTAAAAAAATGCTTTGAAAAGTGCTTTTTATTTTAAAGGAATCTTGAGATCTAGATCTTGAAAGTCTCAGTAATAATATCGATAATAATTTAATATTTTATCGATAATTTTAGGTACAAAATTTATAAAATAGAACCAAGATTTTTAAAATAAATCCAAAAATCTAGGAAACAAATTGAAACTGTAATACTTTCAAAGTTTATCGATTTAAAATCGATTAAAAGCATTGATTCTTTTCTGTTTCCAATACAAAACTCTATTTTCTAAATTATAATAATTAAAAACAAGAAAGAAAGCTAACTTTGGCCAGCCAAAGTTTGTATACCCTTGCAGGTTAAAATTAAAATATATCATAACTAAGCCAAAAATGCATTAATTTCGATTCGGAAAACAGTTTTGTGTTAGTTTTTATTAATTTAAAAAAACTGCATACCAAATTTAAAATTTTAAGAAATCAAAATTTTTGGCCATTTTTGCCAATTTTAATGATGTAACCCCTTATCACATTTCGCAAAAATGGCTCAAAATTTGATTTCCTCCAAACATGGCTTAAACGATTCGAATTTTAATGCTGATCAAGAATATATATGGTTTATGGGGTCGGAAATGACTCCTTCATTAAAAAAATATTATTTTGTATTATAAAATCTGATTTTTTATATTAAAAAATATCATAACTCGGCCAAAAATGCATTAATTTTAAATCGGAAAACTGTTCTGTATTAGTTTTTATGAGGTTAACAAATCTGCATACTTAGTTGGAAAAAAAAATTTAGGTAAAAAATTGAGAATTTTAATGATGTAACCCCTTATCATTTCGCAAAAATGGCTCAAAATTTGATTTCCTCCAAACATGGCTTAAACGATTCGTATTTTAATGCTGATCAAGAATATATATGGTTTATGGGGTCGGAAATGACTCCTTCACTTAAAAAAATATTATTTTGTATTATAAAATCTGATTTTTTTTATTAAAAAATATGATAACTCTGCCAAAAATGCCTTAATTTGCATTCGGAAAGCGGTGTTATGTTAGTTTTTATAAGGTTAACAAATCTGCATACTTAGTTGGAAAAAAAAATTTAGGTAAAAAATTGAGAATTTTAATGATGTAACCCCTTATCATTTCGCAAAAATGGCTCAAAATTTGATTTCCTCCAAACATGGCTTAAACGATTCGTATTTTAATGCTGATCAAGAATATATATGGTTTATGGGGTCGGAAATAACTCCTTCACTTAAAAAAATATTATTTTGTATTATAAAATCTGATTTTTTATATTAAAAAACTTTTTGATTTTTTTAAATTAAAAATATCATAACTCGGCGAAAAGAGCATTAATTTTAAATCGGAAAACTGTTCTGTGCAAGATTTTCTACAGTTAATAATTCTGAAAACTTCATTTAAAAATTTTGAAAATTCAATTTTGTATCAAAATCAAACATTTTAATGATGTAACCCCTTATAAAATTTTGCAAAACTGGCAAAAAAAATCTATTTCTTCCTGACACATCTAGAAAGATTCTCCTTCACTGCGTTGCAAACTTCTGACTGAAATTATAATACCCTGCAAGGGTATAATTAATTCGAAATTGAAAATCGATGATTTGTATTTTGTTTTTGTCATTATCGTTCTTTATTATCATAAATAAATTTAAATTAAATAAATGCAATACAATTAAGCACAATTCCATTGAGATTTGCCTCGATGAAATCACTCTTCTTGTCTCTGCTTCGTTCAGTTTCCTTAGTTTTGTTTTCAATTGCTCTTGTTTGCTGTTTATTGCGTTCCTTTTACAATTAAATAAATGTGGGTGCGTGTGTCGTTGTGTGTGTGTGAATGAGTGTGGAAACAGGCGAGAGTGAGTGGGTGGTGGGAAGTGTAAATGTCAGTGTGTAAGTGTGTGTGTCATTGAGTGCGAGTGTGTGCGGCTGCAGTCTCTATAGAAGTTACAAAAGGGATCCATCGTCTCTATCTCTTTCTCTCCCACTCATCTTTCAGTAGCTACTACTTCGATCGCTCTCTCTCTCTCTCTCTATCTCTCTCTTTCTTTAAGGACGATGTTCCATTTCCATTGTTCCCTTTCGTAACTTTATAGAAAGTACGCGCTCGCAGCTTTTCCTTCATTTCTTTTTCTTTTTTTCTTTTTACTTTTTGTTTTTCATTTTTCTTTACTCTTAATATTCGCATACGTAAATTGTGCTTCTTTTTCTTCTACTTCTGGGTAGTATTGGTGTGCGTGTGTGTGTGTTTGGGTCTACTAGGAATGTTATTTAGTTTAGAATTTTTACCTCACGCTCTAAGTCTAAATAAATATAAATAAATAAATTGTATATTAAGTAATTAATTTAAATATATATCAATTAAAAAAAAAAAAACAAAAAATTATACGTTTGTCAGCAGGGGAGGGGGCCAAATGTGTCAGTGTGTGTGTGTGTGAGTGGGAGGGGCGCTAAGCCTGCCTGGGCAAGAGCGAGACAAAGATATAGACATGCACAGTTAGCGTGTGTGTGTGTGTGTGTTTGTGTGTTTCGTGTGCGAGAGAGAGAGAGAGCTTATGTGTGTGTGTGAGTGACAATTTTGTTGTGTATTTTCTTTTTGTTTTCTTTTCTTTCTTTTTGTTTTCTTTTTTCATTCTGTTTTTTTTTTTGTTTTGTTTTTGTTTTTGTTTCTTTCATTCTACTCCACTTCCGCTTCCTCTTCAGCTAGCTTTTGTTCCAGTTTCCGCTTGTTATGCCACAATCTTGTGCGGCTGCATCCACTTCTTCATGTAGTAACAGAACAACGTGGAAATGTAGAGCAGGATCATCAGCGCACAGGTGACGGCCAGGGCCAGCACCGATGTCTTTGTGGGACAGGGCTCGATGATGGTGACGGTCTTGTCTGTTGTTTGATTTTAAAGGGAAGTACAGTCAGCACAGGTTTTCCAAAGACCAAAAAGCAAACACGACTACTCACCCTTGGCAAAGTCCGTGCTGGGATCCGCCTTGAAGAACTCACGCTTCTCATCGCCAAAGTCCAGGACCAGAATCTCCTGCGAGATGTTCATATCGTCCTCGCTCTTGGTCTCGTTGCTGCAGGGAAAGGGAGTTCAAGGATATTATAGTATGGACCTCCTGAAACCTCTTGCTTCGCCTCCTTCACCCCTCTTATGTTTATATTCTTTCCCTTTTTCCCATTTCCCCCACATCTAAACTCACCTCTCAATGGAACGACGACGCCTCCTGCCCAGTGACTCAAAGGACTCCATGTTCCATTCGCACACAGCCGGCTCACAGGGACCCAGACAGTACTTGACATTGCACTGGAAGATGACACCGTAGCTCTCCGTAAACCTAAAGGCCTCGTATGTGGACTGCAGGGCATTGCCATCAGCAGTGAAGCCGGGGAAGATGGTGGGATCGGTGGGGCAGCCATCGTCGTCGATGATCTTGAAGCTGGTGCGGGCATCCTTGGCCATGGCCACACAGGAGCGGGCAAAGATTCCATAGGGAGCTAAACCAAAATATTAAAAATAAATAAAAATATTAATAAATAAATATTAAACGATTTTAAAGGGAATTTTTCTATAAATCCCTCGATACTCACTGTCTTCGGGTATCTCAATGCGGAAATTGAGACGATCTCCAATGCGCACGGTCTCCACTTCGCGCTGGCGCGTATCCAGAATGCGAATCCTTGGTGGCGGTGCCTCTGGCGATGAGTTAATGTGAATCATTTCGGGATCGCGAATGGGCATCATGCCGAAGGTGATGTTCTTGGAGCTCATGTCATATGTGCACTTGACCTTGTAGATCTTGTCGGCCTTGGTCATCACCACGCTGTGGTGCTGCAGGACCACGGTGTTGGAGTAGACGCCAGTCTGTTTGGAGAGGGAATATAGTGATTAGCCAAGGAGTGAGTTATTGATTCTCCCCAGCTTTAATACTCACCACACTCTGCGTGTTACAATCCTGGCCAGCCATGGTCAGGTCCAGGCGGAAGGCATCCGAGTTGATGACATCGATGTTACAGGTCTCGGAGCGACCCAGGGCATAGATGCGTCCGTTAAAAGGCTTATTGGTGCGCACTTGCACGGCTATCCTGGTGTCCTTGCAGTGGACAGAGACTGCGGATTAGGAAGATGACTATTAGAGCAATTCCTTTATACTCCAGCCAAAGAGACTTACCATCATAGCAGGTGCCCGTCTTGTCACAGTTGACATCGTTGCGCGTCAGATTGGTCAGATTGGGATCCTCAATAGTGTCCAGACTCACGGGCAGCGTATCAATCTTGTCCAGAGTGCCTGGTGGAGAGCCAGGTCCTGCGCCTGCGGCCTTCTCACACTGATTCTCAAAGTACTGACCAATGGGCTCGCCATGATCGATCAGCGGGCGTTCGTGGTTCAAGTAGGTGGAGGGACCATCGGGCAGGGTCTTGTGATCCAGATGATACAGCCGGCAATTGTACTGGGCACCTTGAGGCTGGCCCAGATACAGGAAGGAACGGCACAGGAACTCATTCTCAATCTCACAGGCCAGGCGGCAAGCAGACTCCGAGGTCACCTGCAGCTCCTTGTCGGTGTAGTAGTGAAGACCCACATACTGGGCCACCTTCTCCTCGGATACACCCATGCGCTGGGCATTGCCAAACGATCGGGTATTCTTGCAGGCCTGGGCGGGTTTCAGGCAAAGATTCTCAAAGTAATCGGTACCCTGGGCATCCACCAACTGGACAAACTGGCCGGAGCTGCGTCTATCCGAGTCGCTGAGCACACACTTCATGTTGTTGTAGTCATACTCCACGGACCGGCACACGAAGCGCTTCTCGTTGAGGCAGGCGGACAGACAGGCCTCCTTGGTGCTGGTATAGATCAGGGCATTGTCCAGGCCACGGATCACCTTGTTGGGCACTCGCTCGAAGCTCCAGGGACGCAGGCAAACGTTCTCGCTGCGCAGCTGCAGCTTTACCATGTAGTACATGTTGGCGCTACGCTGAGGTGCCGCCGAAGGATTAGCCGCCGATGA